TGTGATATTTCCTCTTGTTTTGCTTCACTGCTTGTGTTATACTGAGCACGGTTTTCCGCTTAGGTGTATATATAAGCTGGGTCCTGTTCAAACCCACTCAACACTTGTAACACGCTTTCGCTTTTCTACTGCATTTATCAACTTGCATTGTTTAGTCTTCACATTGGCACGTATTCGGTACGTCAATCAACCTGTACGATCACCGCGAGTGTTTTCGTTAACCCAGAGCATTGAGACACTAGGAAGTGGCGCACTTTATTCGAGATCCGTAAGAAGACCTATCGGAAGGCCGTCAACTTCGATTAGCTTCAAGCTCACGTATCGATTAAAGTGAAGTTACTTCAGCGGAATCGGCGGTGACTTAAACAAAGATGGAAGACCTGGCAGAAGAAGCGGTCTCAGTATATGGAAAATCCTGGCGGATTGTATGCTCCAAGGAAGAAGGATGCACAACCGAATGCTCCAAGCAACCAAAGCCTGCAATCAAGCGAAAGCATACTTGCGGAACAAGTAGACCAAAGATGGTGACAACTCTGGAGCATGTTACACTTTCGGACTAAAGCCACTACACAGTCTCCACTTCATCAGTTAAATCCTAAATGCCCGACAATAATGTTGAAATGGCCCCAATTCTTTTGGAAAATGATGGTTCCTCAAAATTTCTGAACCGTGAAATTATACCATTGGGTCTCCGTGAACCTGTAAAGAAAGTTTTGAACGATTTGGTTGAGAAGGTTGTATTACCGCCTGTGAATTCGTCTGTTTGGTTTACCCCTTATTGTGGTTTCGCTGAAACTTGATGATAAAACGCCCAGAATTCGCGGGGATTATCGTATTAGAGTCAACAGACATATAAAGAAAACTAGCTGCTCAACCATTGAACCCGAAAACATTCTGCATCAGTTTCACGGATGAAAGCTCTTTACCAGATTAGGCCTTAAGGATGCCTTTCTTCAGGTACCATTTGATGAGAAGTCTAGTGAATTTACCAAAATTACCACACCGTTGGGTCTATTTCTTCTTGGTGTTTCACCGGCTATACTTCAGAATTTTTTACATTCTCTTATATCTGGGCTGGATGGAGTTTCAGCTTACCAAGATGACATTATCGTGCATGCGCCAAATAAAAAGTTATATGACCGGCCTCCACACTTGCTGCTTGAACGGTTTAGTATTTTTAATGTCGGTAATAATACAAATAGGCGTCTCTTTCTACATTATAGTTTCTCTGTTTGACTTTTCTAGTTAATGAACATGATTTTCGTCCTGATCCTTCTTGTTTCTCATCTGTCCCGACCTCGCCATTCGAAGTTACTGTGAGTTTCTGGGATTTTGTTAACGCTTTAGTTTCTTTTTCAATTCTTACCGAATTCCATATACGCTGTCACTATTGCCTTTTAAGTCACGTCTCTGAGATTTTCTTGTTGAGCGCTTTCTTAACGTTTTCACCCTTTGCGGTCGGTTACCATCAATGCCCTTTTCTTTAACGCTAACCATTCCAAACGAGCCATCCTTGACGCTCTGACTGCGTTACACCACTGGCAGCGAATAAAAAGGTATCACTGCATATTCCGACAAGACCTCGTTACTAGCCCCCTCATATTTTATTCTATCAGCATGCCGAGCATTACTGCAGAGCACCCAAACCTCAGACTAACAGACATGCGTCCCAATCCAGCCAACCCTCTGTTCCTCTTAACAATTGCTGCGTCCCCCAAGTTGACGTGTGCAGCGACGCATTGAAAGTAACTCCTGGAATTGGCAGAAGGATTACAAATCTTACCAATGGAACTAGTAGCGACGACTCTGGCTCCATTGATCTTCCTAATAGACCTCCTGTTTCAACCTATGGGTAACCTCACCCGCTCAGGGATGTTGCTTGACTCCATCGCCTCTGAAATTTTCAAGCACATCTCAAACTCAAAAGATGCATTTGTCTTTATTGTCCCAGATAAAATTCCCCGCCGTCGGAAAGAATGCACGATAAAATGGCGAAGAAAGATGAGGGAGTGCAAGGTAATTGAGAGGAATTTTTACTTGTTTTGACTGTTATACCGACCACCAAACTTCCTCAGAGCGGACAATGTCATCTCAGATAGTCTCTTGTTCTGGGTCTCCTTTCTTACTTACGCTCCGGAAACAATGGAGTTCACAGGACGTACAGCAATACGCCTGCTACCTCCCTTTCCTTGGGATGTGCAGAAATTACTGTACCAGTCAAAAGAAGTGAAAATTCCTCTCAATCACCTTGCATTCCCTTATCTTTCTTCGCCATTCTATCGTGCATTCGTTCCGACAGCGGTTTCCATGTCGATGGATTTTCTATTCTGAACCATCAATTTCACCCTTTTTACGGGGAAGCATATCTACTGGACACACACTTCAAGTGCTTTGCTCTTATATGTAAATAGGATTCAGTGCTTTTTCTTTATTTTCGATTAGATGCTCTTTGTTGGACTAACCGTTGCTTTTGGTTTTATTGAACCTCTTTTGGCTGTAACGCTCAAGATTGTTTTGCTTGATCTATTGAGGAGTGCAGAATTTTCCTATTGGTCCAGAATTATGTGAAAGGTATTTCAAATCTCTCATTTTCTTATTTACTTGTTATTACCGCAGATATTTTCTGTGAATATTTTGTAACATTTTGGCCGGATAGTGGATCAGGCTCACTATCAGAAGTATGACTGCCTTATTTATTCGTGATTAATGCAAAAACGGTAAGCGTGCAGCAACCAAACGCGGATTTATTCAAAAATATGAGGTCATTTGATCGATCCCCATTCTCCAAAATGAAAATAATCTCAACTGGAAACCAATGTCACTCAAAAATTATTTCGCTTAATAAAGACCCTAAACATAACGCCGGTTTCAATAAGGCAGCCAACAACCAAATAATTAAAATATAATTTAATAAACAGAACAAATAAAATAAGTATTGGTTAATATAACTGAACGAGTTCTGGGGAGGGAAATGTACACATTTTAAATCTGTAAAAGTTGCACCTTCCATATAACTATCAAAAGCTATTCTAAATACTATTCTGAAACTTTCAGCCTAAACCCATCGATGAATACGAATACGTAAATAAACACCTGCTTCTGTGCTACGAATTTTGACGGCGGCTAGGAATCTACGAAACGATACCTTGCTATCTCAGTACACCATGTTCCGCATCCATTGAAAGATGCGCTGCTTTTTGAACTTTGGCATACCAGATAGCTGGTCACATTTCTTCTTCATATCCTTAACGAGATGGAAACAAAATATCACATTCAATGACGGAAAGTATTCTGAAAACGGGTTGTACTGAGCCAAGCTGCGATCAATAACTATAGTCTTGCATTGTGCAAAGACTGGGCACGTAGCTTTCATGGCTACCACAGCAGATCTATAGCTCTCAACGTTCTCATTCGGCAAGATAGCGTAGAATAAACGGGTTAAATACATTAGAAATGAGAGGCATAATTACCTGATTGCAAATGCATCGCGCATTCTGCGAGGTACACAGCAAAATTTGATGAAATAGTGCGGAAAACCCTCAGGCAGAATCAGTTTCCGACCAAACTTCCTTTCCCGTATCAGTTGTTTGGCTGTCATTCACGCATAAACGTAGAGGGAAGTGTAAGTAACCCTTTGGAATTCACGAAAGTCCTCCAACCAGCGATCCATTGCAATTTTTTACCATTTGTTCAAAAACAGCCATCGTCAACATGAGCCATGTTTGATATGAGCGTGAAAGTCATCATCGCCTTTAGGTTAATTGGGGTTGATTAAAACAAATTAAATTTTAGCAAATCACTCAGAAACAGCCAAAAGTAAAATCTGTTCCATTTTGGCTTAATTTGAAATAGCTTTTTCTAAAATACATTTAGAAATAGGTCGTTTTTAGAAATCCTAATAGTTGGAATGCCACGTCCCTACCTGGTAGTTACCTCAATTGAGCAAACGGGAGGCTGTGGGATCGCAAAAAAATGGGAGCAATAGGCAAAAATATCCAGCTGGAAGATCCTGAACGTTGGGAAGGGTGGGAAGTCGAACCTCTCCAGGTCTGCATAGTGACGAGGTTTCACCCAGGTGAGTCATTTAGCAGTCTGTTGCTGGTTTGACTTGTTACACCCTGAGCCGCTTATCATTATTAATTATCAGCTCCCAGATTCTCTCTGCTATACATCTTTTAGGTTTATTTTCCTTGTCTACGTTAGTTATCTTATATTACTCTGTTTCACCGGCCAGCATGGATGCGACGTGCGGCAATCAGCGGTGTAAAAAGGGTGTTGCCGCGGAGGGAATACAGTGCGACACGTGCCTAAGGTAGTTCCATCTCAGATGTGCATCAGATAGTGAAAAATATTATCTACTATATCAGGAACCGAAAACCCTCAGTTTTGTGTGCCGAGAGTGCATACGTGAACTGATAAAGAAGGAGAACTCAGCAGAGGTATCTTTAAGTGTTCGGCAGGGATATAAAGTGAAGGCGGTAGTGCCCACATCAAGGGATCTCGAACACAAAACGGAAAAAAGCATTAAGGAAGATAAGGCGGTCATTAAGGACAATACTGATATCTCCACCAGCTCAGAGTGCAACCGGACTGTCGTTCTACGCAGCCAGGTAAAAGAACCAAGCAAAATAGTTTGCTTCTAAGGCAAAGTGAGCTTACCTAACCTAACTCAAAGAGTGGGGCTGCTAGAAGCCAACCAGGCTAGGATGAGCGAAGCGCTCACAAGGCTGGAGAAGATCAGTGATCTGGCCTTAGGGAGACACCGCAACGTGGTGATTGAGGGTATTCTGGAACCCTTCATGAGACAAGTGCGGAATAGGCAGAAGGTAATGAGATATCACGTGGTAAACCTGTTGTGAATGGCCAAAATACCAGGTCATATAGCGTTCAAACGCGTGATGACGATTGTTTGGTGGTGCGGCGTAGAGGCCGTGAACACTCAGACCCCAATAACAACCTTGAGGAGCCCCGTAAGCAGACAAGCAACGATAGCAAACAGGATGGGGACTCCGCAGGGCACAGAAGAGCCACTGAGAAGTTCTGTAAGGAAACCAGCAGCTACTAGCACGCCGACTATGGCTGAGCCGGGACATCGGGATTGGGGTACTAGCCAGGCGGGGGTAGGGACACAGGTGGGTGTCCCAAAAACGGAAACAGCGCTCGGGTATAAGTCCCGAGCGACCGGGTTTCTCCCCCAGAAACCAGGGCCAGGAGAGCGAGAGAAAAGGTCTGCTAGTGGTATATACCAATGCAGCGAGTGTAAGTAACAAGTGGCCAGAAGTGGAGGCTCGCGCATCTGGAGCACACGCCATCGTGATAACTGAAACATGGCTAGACTCGAAGGATGACTTTAGATGCAGAATACCGAGGAACTATTCGATAAGCAGCAAAATAGACCGGCCGGGCGACAGGGTAGGAGGTGGGGTTGTACTTTTGGTAGCTGACCATCATGAACAAAGGGAGGGTTTTAAGATTGCAACCTCGAATGTACAGATTGAGGAAGTCACGATCAAAGCTGGTAATGACGAGACCACCCTGGTTGGTTTATACCGCAGCCCTAGTGCGGAAACATGGGAAGACGACCAGCTACTTGCCTTCCTAGATGAAGTCACAGGGAAAGGTCATAAACTCCTGACTGCAGGAGACTTCGATGCACTGGAAGTGGACTGGGACATACAAATGGCCCCAGAAACTCATTCGGGAATAAGCTAGCCACGATGCTACATAGGAAGGCACTGAATCAGCACGTAGATAGGGCAACCCGGTGGCGTGATGGGCAAATCCCATTAATATTGGATCTCGTGGTAACTAGGGTACCTAACGACGTTCTAAGTTTGGGGATAGAAAAACCCATCGGAAAAAGCTACCATGGTGTACTTCGAGTATTGATGAGTGCAATGGGACAAAGCGAACCAGACAAATTCCGCAGGACCTTCTGGTCCATCAATCAGGTCGCACTGATTGAATTGGGTCGTCAGTGCAGCTGTATGGTAGAAGAGGGAGAGGAATATGTTGAACGACAGTGGTGTCCAATTGAGAACAACATATTGGCGCTCGCAGACCATGCTTCACCACTCAGGGTCAGACGAAGGGGTGCTCCACCATGGTGAAGTAGCAAGGTGAGAAAGGCCAGTCAGAGGAAACAGTCAGCTTGGCGGCGATATCGGCGCACCGAAACTCATCGCGACTTTCTGCGCTATAAAGTGGCGAGAAAAATAGCGTCCAGGGTGTAAACCGAATGCGGACGCAGGTATGAGGAGAGGTTAGCCCTGCATGCAAAAACCCACCCCATCACCTAATTCAATTACATTCAGTCAAACACTGCACTGAGGAGGTTGTGGGATGTGTTAGGGATGACGATGGAGTAGCAGCAGTAACCTTGAGAAGGACAATATCCTGTGCCACTTCTATCAGGCCACCTATAGGAGGGATTTAGGTGCCTCAGATAGGTCCGTTGGAGTTTGCACGCAGCTGGCCATGTCAGAGGTGTACATAGAATCAACGAACGTAGAAGAGCACCTACAGAGACTGATGATATCGTAGGCCCCGAGTCCAGACCAGCTGCATCCAGCGGTGTTAAAACCACTGGCGGGCGTGCTTGCGGAACCGCTTGCACGACCGTTCAATGCATCACTGAAGGAAGGACGACTCTCTATTAACTGGTTGGTGTCAACTGTCACTTCAATCTACAAAGGGGGAAATAGAGAGAACTGCGCAAATCACCGACCCGTCCACTTGACTTCGATGGTATTAATAATCATGGAGCGAATCA